TCCTTCAAGGCTCAGGGGTCCAAGATTATCTTCTGTGTCTGTGTTAATTGGTTTCCCTTTTCTTTGTTGAAGAGGGTCTGTGCAATCCTTCTGCCTAGTCTGCCATCTTGCCCCGCCTCCAAATATGGATCTTTTCCAATCAATTTGCCAGGTATTTGTCCTCCAAATTTCCTGGCAAGGACAAGTGCTGGAGAGCACTGCATCTGTTTGTTGAAACATTCTAATGGGTATTTCATCAATTCCTGGAGCTTTGTTTTTCACCAGTTCCTACAGTACAGCTTAGACTTCTTCCTTCAGTACCATTGGTTCTTGATCATATGCTACCTCCTAAAATGATTGAACATCAATCAATTCTTTAGATACAGTGACTTTGTGTATTATTTCCATCTTCTTTTGATGCTTCCTCCATCATTTAATATTTTGCCCATGGAATCCTTCAGTATTACAATTTGTGGCTTGAATTTTCTCTTTAATTCTTTGTTGTTGTTGCTGTTGTTATTTGCCATCGAGTCAGCCCCGACTCATAGCGACCCCTCCTTGGGTTTCCGAGGCAGTATCACTATGGAAGTAGGAATGCCCAACCTTCCTTCTGAGGTGTGGCTTCAATTCTTTAGAGCTTGAGGAATGTCAAGTGTGTTCTTCCTTTTTGGGTTTCTAATTCCAGGTCTTTGTACATTTTATTATAATACTTTACTTTGCCTTCTCTAGCTGCCCTTTGAAATCTTAGGTTCAGCTCTTTTATTTCAACATTGCTTCCTTTTGCTTTAGCTACTCTCCATTCAGGGAGTTCTGATGGCGTAGTGCCTAAACCATTTGACTGCTAACCAGAAAGCTGGCAGTTCAAACCCACCAGCCACTCTTTGGAAAGAGGGTTGGGCAGTCTACTTTCATAGAGATGCCTCCTCGGAAACCCAAGGAGGAGTCGCTATGAGTTTAATTGACTCAACAACAGTGAGTTTGGTTTTGGTTTTGGTTTACTCTCCATTCAACAGCAAGCTTCTGACATCTATTTTGGTCTTTTCTTCCTTTTTTGTCTGTTTAATGAACTTTTGCTTTCTTCATGTATGATGTTCTTGATGTCATCCCACAACTTGTCTGATCTGTGGTCAGTGGTGTTCAGTGTGTCAGATCTGTTCTTCCAGATGGTCTCTAAATTCAGGCAGACTGTACTCAGTGTGTTATTTTGGCTCTCTTGGACTTGTTTTAATTTTCTACGTCTTCAATTTGAACTTGCATATGAGCAGTTGATGGTCTGTTCCACAGTCAACTGCTGGCCTTATTTTGACTGATGATATTGAGCTTCTCCATTGCCTCTTTCCACAGATAGAGTTTATTTGATTTCTGTGTATTCCATCTAGTGAGGTCTTCGTGTATAGTCGCCATTTATGTTGTTGATTTTGAGCCCTTACTCTTGCTTTAAAAGTTAGGTCCAAAAATATGTATAAGCTGCTGTATGGAAAATGAATTTGGAATTTGCTCTGTAAACTTTCACCCAAAGCACACACACACACACACACACACAATTAGGCCCAGCATTACCTCTTTGAAATGCACTAATATACCCAAGTGGGGGTGTTCAGTGAGCCTCCTATTTTCATAATAGGAGGCTCTTTGCAATCACTAGCTCAGGAAATACCTTCACTTTGTGATTACCTGTTGGGATCTGTACCAGACTCTGACCTCCTTTAGGTATGATCTTGTGTCTTACACTGTATCATTCAAGCTTGGCACATGGTCGGCCAACAGTACATATCTTTGTGGAGGAGAAATTAAATATACTTACTGATAAATGAGAGATAAAAACCAAAAAAACAAACTCATTGCCGTCGAGTCAGATCTGACTCATAGCGACTCCTCCTTGGATTTCTAAGGCTGTATCTCTATGGAAGGAGATTGTCCAACCTTTCTTCCAAGGAGTGGGTAGTGGGTTTGAACCACCAACTTTCTGGTTAGTACTCAAATGCCTTAGGCACTGCAGTGTAGTAAATTACTTTGTGTGGCTTTTCTACCCATAAGTCTTTGTAAACTCCAAGGTGGAATTTGCTATGAGCAACTGAGGAGCTCCTGATTGCTGAAGGTGTCCACCTGGAGTATTTCTGTTGGGAGTGGCACAAAACAATGTTCTGGGAGGTGCCCACTCTCTCTCTCAGGTGCTT